GGGGGGGGGGGGGGGGGGGGGGGGGACAAAGCATTGGCATTTTGACCTTTCTGTACCGTGAGCTTGTATGCTTTCCTCGTGTCCCCTCTTGGCTTAGTTCCGTCAGTGAAGCTGGCTTTCCTCAACAGACAAAGAAGTTTAAAAACTTGCAGAAAAGTCATAATGTTATTGTGAGTTTTCAGAAAATGAATGGATTATTTCAGAGTTCTCTGTTGCCTTGGTTTCAAAACAAGTCCTGGTTTGAAAACTATGAAACCTTGTTGGGAGGAACTAAAAAATGAGAAATTAAAGAAATCAAATGGTAGGTGGTAGCTGTATAAAATACTTCACCATTTGATTTGCCTATTATTGTTTCGTTTGTTGTCAGGTTCATGATCTTGGACTGGAAAGTAGCATTCTCGCAGTCCCTTCAAGTCACCCAGCTGCCAGGAGCAGATTTATTTATTCACGAGGAAAGCTTCATCAGCTCCCATCAGGGGTTATTTCCATAATCAAGAAACAATCATTATTTTCAAAGCCATTATTACCCACGATACTCAGGGAACCCTTTGTTAGAGGAAAGCAAGATGATACTGATGAATCTGTGTATGACTTTTTCAAGAGGAGAATGAATGAAGAGGTATGTATGTTCATTGACTTTGCAAGCCTGTGTTTTTAAAGGGTACACATGGTGTATGTTATTGGACTTAATTTGTTATAGACAAAACTCTTGAATACGGATAAATTACAGTATTTATAGAGGAAGCCATATCAGCCTTAGTTGGTTTTCATGCACGTCCTTTATCCTGGTTGAATGGAATTTGCAGTGTTGGTTTTTGTGGAGGGATGAAAACCAAAGAACCCGGAGCAAAACCCTCGGAGCAAGGCGAGAACCAACAACATACTCAACTAACATATGGCACTGGGCCAGAATCAAACCTGCGCCACATTGGTGGGAGGCAAGTGCTCTCACCACTGCGCCATCCCTGCTCCCAACAAAAGTTGGGTTAGTCTATCCATAGACATTTTATTTTAACTTCTAGCAACAAATTATGGCTAGAAGTTTTTTTTTTTTTTCTTTTTCCGTGGGTGCAAATGATGCAAGCATAAAGCATGAGTGAGTAGACTTCTTTGGAAAAAATGACACTTTTTAGTCTTCTCCCCCATGTCATTACCTTGTCTTGATCACCTCTGCCCTTGTTCCGTAAATAAAATTGAGCAACATCTGGAAGGATCAAATACAAAATAACTGTAGAGAGTCACGGGTGCGTTGGAGTATGCACATGTGATGTCAAAATTATTTTATTATTTAACTTGGAAAAGGAAAGGATAGCTCAGCTGAACATCTCAACAGCAGCCATACATGCCTAGGTCAGCACTGAGTGGTCACTGGGGAAAGGTGACCCTTGCCTTGAGATTTTAAAACAGTAAATTAACAGACTGGCGTTCAGGTGAGACAATGGCGGTGAACTGCATTGGAAACACAGTCCATGATTTTTGACACTGTAAAGCTGATTACTACTTGCGTTTGTGGAGGTTTGAACTTTATCAAAACTGGTATGAAAAGTTGGCTTACTCAAGGGCACTACCAACCACTTACCACATCATACCATGTTCAATTTTTACCACAATCAGTGCTATAAATTTAGGAGAATTTGTTTGACTTAGATGGTGAATTTTGCCAGTTGTCAGCTGTTGTTGAAACCCCTGCATACCTGTGAGGAAGCTCTCTTTTCAGGTCCCCTTTGCTGGCTTGTACCTTGCTCATGCAAAAGCCAACCCAAAACCCAGACAAGATAGCTATGATAGGGCTCAGTTGTTTGAGGGATGAACAATGTTATGCACACCAGATAAATCACTATCAAATGGATAGCATAAGGGATGTAAATGTGAGACTGGAAGAAGGCAAGTCTAGCATTTTTCATTGCAAGCCCAAGTCATTCTTAGATTTTGACTTTTGAAATTGCGTCAATAATGCAAGACTGCGACTTCAAAGTGTTTTAAAAGCCAGTGAGTGCAAGACATTCATACTCTAAGACCTTCAGAAGTCACTAAAAAATACAAACAAGCAAATTGAGACGTCAATTCTTCCTTCCACATGTTGCCCTCAAAAAATCGAAACTCCGAGACAACTTTGTGAAAAAAAAGACTGCAGGACGCATAGTTTTTGAATGACCATTCACTGTGCCTAACATAGCATGGTCAATTGTCACTTATCACTAGACAGCAATTATCTGATAGAAAGCACTATGTACCCCTTATTTTTTTTTGCCAACTGGATGCAAGGTCATACTGGAAACATTGACCATGATTGAGGAAGCTTTTAAAGATGATCAGCTTGAATCACTTGATTCACTTGATTGCTTATGTTAAACTCATGATTTACAAACTATCCCTGTGTTCATTTGACGTCACACATGTGAGTGTTTCTTTTGAAGGTTGCAGAGTATCTCAGTGACCCATTGTGCCGAGGGATTTTTGCTGGAGACACTCGCTTGTTGAGCCTCAAGTCGTGCTTCCCACCTGTGTATCAGTATGAGAATCAACATGGCTCTATAATCAAAGGGGTGTTCTTTACAAAAGAAGGTACATTTAATAAGGAAACTCATGGCTGATCTTTGTTGATTCAAACTGGAACCCATCAGGTCGTCATCTTTATCTGATTGGCTGAAAGTTCTTTCCATATCAATGCTGAGAATTAGGTTGTACATCAAGACGATACTGTATCTAAGAGTTAATGGCTGGACTTGTTTTTGTAACCTGTCCTCTTGATAAGGATTCATTTAAGGGTTCTAGATAAGCTTTAAAAAGCAGTTATTCCAGTGGATCAATAATAGATATGAGCCATTTCAAATATCGGAAGTTTGCTATTTATTTCTAAAACTCGTTAATAATTCATCAAAGAAAATCACAACCGTGAAGGAGGTTTGGATGCTCAGTCTTAATTAGCATAGATTTTGACGAGTTTACTTCTCCGTTTACTCCGTGGTGTTTGTTTTAATCGAGAAGATATATCTTGAAAACACTCAAGACAGTGTTTCATCGGCTATCCAAACACCTCAAATTTTGTCAGAAATACTCTGCTGTGCGTCATATTTTCAACTCTCTTCTTGGTGTTTGGATATCCTGATGAAAAACCGTCTCTTGTGTTTGCTATAATTACTTACTCGGTCACTTAGCTCACCTTTTCTAAAGGGCAAATTTCAATATATTTCAATTCCAAGATGGCTATGAGACTTAGGGGAGTAAAACGAAGGAACTGAAATGTGGTAGAGTAGGGATATTTTCTGGAATCACCCATTCTTGCCTCAACCTCAATGTGATTTTCTGTTTAGTCCCGTAAACCTCAGAGCCATATGTTAGAATTTCAAAATATTAAAACTGGCCTATTATTGAATTGATCACTGCTAGTCTATGGTTCTTTTTCATCCTTCAGCTCCTGACACCACCGTTCTGAGCCCGTTAGCAACGAGAGCCAAGGAGGAACGTTGGAGCACATGGTCGCTCCAAGGTGGTTTGCAAACACTCTGTGACAAATTACTTGAAGTACTAAAGCAGCGAGGAGTTGATTTCAAGATGAACACGCCCTGTACTGCAGTGAATTTCAACACTGATGGCAGGCTGACAGTGGCATGGCCAAACGAGAAGATAACAGTAGATCACGTGATAAGTGGCATACCAGCACAGACACTCGCTAACATTCTACCAGAGGACTGGGAAGGACTCGCATCTGAGCTGAAAAATATTCATAACACAACAGTGGGTGTTGTCAATCTGGAATACGAGGGAAGTGTCGTGCCTGTAGAAGGTTTCGGATATTTGGTTCCTTCCTCTGAACCACTTCAAGTTCTCGGGATTATCTTTGATTCCTGTGCTTTCCCTGAAAATGACAGGCGCAGCGGAAAAACCACAAGGATAACTGTAAGTTTCAATTGCACTTGGATTCGCTTGGACGCGAGCGAGGGGGAGGGGGAGATGGCCGCCCGCTTCCCAGAACACTTACACTATTTAAAACCAAAATTTGCGATTTTCCCTACTCTGTTTATGACCTGACCAAAAATTCGATACATTATCTAAGACCTGACCCTGAAATCAATACCCTGTTTCAGACCTGCCATAGAATTAGTTCCCTAGTTCAGACTGACGCTTAAGGCATTTTAAAGTGCTTTTGTTGATGGTCTTATTGATAATGATGAAAAAGTAACTTCTTCTAAAAGCAATACACAGTTCAAAAATAGAGTGCAAAACCCATGCCCTATTTGGGACCAAAATGGCCAAAATCGATACCCTATTTCTGACCATTTGAAACGGCTAAAAACCCATAGCCTTTGGGGCCGCGCATACCTATAGTTATAGCCCATATAAGGGAGTACTCCTCGACACTTGGACATACCCACAAGTTACCCTATGAGCGCCACATTTTCGCTCTGTTCATTAGATTTTTGTTCTTAATCTCGTCAATGGGTCTTTTGGTGCAGATATAAAACTCTACTTCTAGTCCTACGTTAGGTTAAGTCAGTCTGGCAAGGAAATGAAACTTGACACTGCCGTGTTTTCAGAAGTGGTGTTGCTAAGTAAAGTTACCCGTGTTGATTGAAGCAAGCTGACGTCATACATTTAGAATAGATGTGGAAAATGATAATCTACATTATGTTGGTCAGCCAAACCTTCCACGCTTCCTTATTAACATTTAAAGATAAATGTCTCTTTTGCCATTTCTCTCTTATTTCCATGCCATCTTGTTTCCTCGCAGGTCATGATGGGAGGTCACTGGTTTAATTCCTTATTTGGACATCCTGACTCAGTCGCCCCAGATCACCTCCAAAGCGTCGCTCAAGAAGCCGCAGAAAAGACCCTTGGCATCCGCAGTAAACCAACGAGTTGCTTGGTGACCATTCAGCGTGACTGTATCCCGCAGTACACCCTAGGACATTCCGACCGTGTTAGGAACAGTTTTGACTTTATTGAGCGGCGCAAGTTACCGCTGACTCTGATCGGTGCGTCGTACAGTGGAGTTAGTGTCAACGATTGTATTTACAATGCGCAGCTCGCGGTAGACCGAATTTTAGAATCGAGTCAAGAGACTGATGTCCAATGAAACAAACGTGTGCGGTGCCAGATCATTTGGGCGATTTTCGCATAACCTCATACGTAATTACCTTAATGACCCCTTTTGATAACAGTGCAATTTGTCAAGCGGCTTTCGACACTCGTCTCTGAAATGAAAGAAAAACTTCGTGTCCACTACACCGTCGGGGCAACCACGCTGGTTACGTGGCAACTTGTTGATGTGAGTAGATAGAACGCGACCAATCCAGGGTACATTTTTCAGTCCTTCGAGACATTTTTTTGTTTCATGGCTCCTCCCCGACAATCGGGGTTACCATTTTCGGAGAAATGTCGAAAGCCGCTTGTAAGTAATTTACGTGTGTCTATCATTGTGTTTCTAAGAATTTCCTGGCTCAAACAGTTTCTATTCTACGTATTAATATTATCCCGCAAGCGCTACCAAACAAACGCTCCTCCAGTCCTCCCCCAGCCTGTGAACAGGTTCCGGCTGGTAGGGTCTAACCGTGACTGGAAGGGCCCGGAGAAGGGACTGGCTGAGATTGTTTTTGTAATAAACATCCCTGTTTCAATAAGCGTCCTTGTTCTAACAAACGCCCCTAGTCCATACAGCTCAGATGAAACAGAATTCGCTGGGCTGAGCAACTTTAATAAATATCCAAGACTTGATGTCTCCAAAATAAATAAACAAATAAATAAAATTCACGAACGAGTACTATCCATCCGGGTATTTTCCTCTGACAGCTTTCTCTCCGCGGATGAACACTATCGCAACGTGATCAATTTAAACCAATTAGAATCGGAGAAAATTTAGTGGTGAACTATAAGAGGTGATGGTTGATGAGGCCGAAGGCACTTGTCAGTTTCTTTCAAATATTTCAAGCTTTTTTAATTCAGTGGACCGTAATGCCCTCCTTTTAATCTTCCCAGGAATTTGATGATCCATGTTTTTCTAAATGTTCTTTCAAAACTTCGGAGAAACGAGGAAACGTTGCAATTTTTCCGACCACACTGAGCTACTGCACGCTGATTAACAATTAGATTATGAGCTCGAGATTTCTATGAGGTGATAGTTGATGAGGCCGAAGGCCGAAACAACTATCGCCTCATAGAAATCGAGAGCGAATAATCTAATTGTTTTAGTAGAATTCTAACTGAAATTAACGCAAATAACG